GCTTTCATGCTGGTTTTCTGCGCCGTAGCTCCAATTTTACCCTATTTGGATTTGTATTTTCTGATCTATATTTAATCTGATCTCCTATTGTATGTATATATGTATGCCAATAAAGGCTTGTCAGATGAGTAATTGGGAGTTGCTGTGCCATAGCCCTGCATTCAGTTCTCTGGAAGTGCTGGAGATTTTAGCTTGCTGAGCCTGTCAACATCTTGTGGAGGTATTTTGATCTGAGGAGTTTTCTTTCTATTGCATATATAGGTTTCTGTTCCTGACTATGTCCCACCAGAGTACTGTATATCTGTTTGTAGTGCTAAATGCTAGATTCTAAAATCACAGCAGAAGAAAGGTTGCAAAGAAACCTTATCTCCCAGGCTGTTGCATGCCTAGAGAAAGAGCCGTATTGGCATAATTTTCTCACATAAAGTCTTTATCAGCTTGTTTTTTACTGTCTTCTGTTGATGCTCTCCAAATAAATCTCAGGTTCATTAATGCAACACCTCTGTCACTTGGCTCAACCAAGTCCAGCTTTCTCAACTAGCTGTAGATCTGAGGCAATCATTCTAGAATGAAACAATCTGGTATTAGGTTTGGTCACGTCAAATAGATCACAGTCGAACTCTATGATGCAGTTTACTCATTTCTGAACTGCTTCTAGTCCACATTTAATCCAGTTGCAAAATTCTTACTATGACGTATAGAGGGTTGCTTGATGTTTGCAGTGGTTTGTAGAGCAGCCACCTTGGCTCTGTTTACAGAGCTAATATTTCGTATTTGAGTCAGCAGCATTTCCTCATTCTTCAGAATGCATATCCAGCCAGGCTTCATCCTTGAGCCCCTGTTGATGGTCAGCAAGGCAAAGACAAAAGATCATTTAGTTACCTGTGATAGATGATGCAAAATAGTCCCTCCCTGCTTCCACCCAACAGCAGTTCTTATTCACCATTCACTGCTGCTGTGAGTGCATAGGCACATGTGCAGTGGTGACAGAAACTCCACACAGGATTTTCCTCTGCACTTTTTCCTGGGTGTCACTCTTCCCCACCCCCCCCCGCCCCTCGACTTTCACATATTTAAAATCAAATTGGTGCATGGAAGACAAGGCTGAGAAAGAGGTTTCTCCCCCTGCCCAGCTGCTCAGTTGTCAATGCTTGCCAGCTCAGATCTGCCCCCCTTTTCTTCCCTCCTTTCATAGCCCCCACTGAGAGCACTTCTCAGATGATTTCCATACAGGGACAGGTTTGTGTAATTTCCCCATTGCTGCTGTGACTGCCAGTGGAGTAGGGAAAATGGCTGTCATGTAGCCGGAACTAGAGAAATCTGGGCTTTCCCACCTCACTGGCAGCCATCCAGCCTTTGCTGTGATCTTTCTCAAAACTTCACAGCGAAGCAAGTTTGGAAAATACTGGAGAAATGCTGGGGAAACCTAGGAGGGGCACAAATGCACCATTATGTTGCAGGGAAGCAGGAAGGAAACCATATTCGATGTGAAAAAGATCAGCTGGGCTTCAGTTTCAATCTGCATTTGGAAAGTGAGGGTGAGCTGCATAGCATGATTGGAGCCCAACAGGGAAGGGGTCCCGTATGAAGCTCTGAGGAGAAAGGAGAAGAAGGGAGTGATTCCCAGCCACCAACTACTAGTACAGCTCAGTGGGGGAGGGGGACGCTCCCTCAGCTTCTTTGTGGCTGGCTGCCTTCACTTATACTGGTGGGAGGGAAGCCCTCTTGTCTTGGGGGGAGAAATGGTAGCCAGCAGGGGATGAGGGCTGTGGGTGGGGGATTTAAAAATGCTGAACCTCCCTATTTACATGGCAAACGTGATCTTTCAAGGAAGATCATAGCAAAACAAGTTCGGGAAACAATGTAGGAACCAGTTGGACCCTGTGTTTGGGGGGGGGGGGGGGAATGTGCCGGAACAGAGTTCTGGAACCTCTTTGACAAAATTCTTAAAAAAATTTTTTTAAGTTCATGAGTTTTCAGTATACAGATTGAAGGTTCTATGAAAAAAGCCCATACATAAAAAAGCCCACACGGAAAGAAGCCCACATGGAAAAATACGATGTAAAGCGCCATAGGTAAAGGTAAAGGGTTCCCTTGGTTGAAAGCCAGTCGAATCCGACTCTAAGGGGCAGTGCTCATCTCTGTTTCCAAGCCGAGGAGCCAACACTGTCTGAAGTCGTTTCCAGCATGACTAAATGTCGAGGAGGACGGAATGTTGTTACCTTCCCACCAAAGCGGTACCTATTTATCTACTTGCAATTTCTTGCTTTCGAACTGCTAGGTTGGCAGGAGCTGGGTCCAGAGACGGGAGCTCACTCCATCATGCGGCACTAGGGTCTCGAACTGCCGAACTACAGATCTTCCGGTCTGCAGCTCAGTGTCTTAACCTCTGAGCCACTGCAGCCCCAATGTAAAGTGCTATAGATATTTATAATTGTGGATAATCATTCATCTTCATTTATCAGAATGAACAGGCACTACCTATATTTTATATTAGGGTTGCCAAGTGGCACCTACCTTTCCGGCGGGGGACTCCCGTGTAGATCCTGGTGCGTGCGCACGCCGCATACACATCACAGGGAAGTGACATCATGATGCTGGGCATGCTGGGGGCAGGGCCACGGCCATACAAGGGAAAACCATAGAGTGGCCCCGCCCCCAGCGTGCCCGGCATCATGACGTCACTTCCCTGTGACGTGCACGCTGGGGCGGGGTTCCCCCCGGGGCCTGATTCCCTGGTGTTGGGGAACGGGCCTTTGGGGCGGGGGGTTTTCCGCCCCCCAGGGGGACTTGGCAGCCCTATTTTATATTGTTAATTTAGGATTAAAACATGTTATATTCACATGCAACAATTTTTCTGTCTGGATTTTCCACACCAGAATTGTGAATTATCAGTTCCCTATACTTCTCAGGAATGTTAAAATTTATGGTATTAGGGTTAGGTAGTCTTTTGTCATGGTCACTGGGTGTACCATACTGTATTTGTCAAAATACAAGTAAAGGGAAATTGAGCTAGGAAATCGACTTATTTTAATGTTATCTTATGGTTTTGTTCTCTTATGGTTTTAATTTTTAATGACAAAATAAGTAAATAATATTAGTTATTTGAAGAATTTTAAGCCATATAGTTGGTCTAAAGCCATGGATACTAGACAGTCTATACATAATTTTATTTAACATCTTTCTGTCTTTACTTTAGAAATTACTTCAAGCCAACATTAAAAAGGTTGACATATGGTAAATTAATAAATTTAAAGTATTTAATTTCATTTACAAATATTTCTATATAGATTTTAATTTCTGTTGTTAGTGTTTTTCCTTCTTAATAAAGTTCATTGATAACAAAATGGTCGGTTTTATTTCCTGTATTTTCCCTTCCAAACCTTTACACTCAGGAGCATTAAAGCCCTCTTCATACAGCCACTTTTGTACAGTAATGAAGTAATTTACTAATAACATAACAAAATTATTATTTAATTATAGATAAACTCACAACACAAATTGTTGCATGTGAATATGATGCTTTAATCCTAAATTAACAATATAAAATAGAGGTAATAATGTTCATTCTCATAAATGGAGATGAATGGTTATCCACAATTATAAATATCTATGCCACTTTACATGGTATTTTTCCGTGTGGGCTTCTTTCTGTGTGGGCAGTTTTCCGTGTGGGCCTTTTTCCTGTGAGCATTTATGACCATGGAGTTTTTCCTGTGGGCTTTTTTCTTGTGGTCTTTTTTCTGGTGACCCAGATTAAAAATTTCATTTTCCCTCTGGAGTGTTCTGGCACCTCTTTTTAAAAAGAGAGAGAGAGAGAGAAGAAGTAGCAGCAGCCCTGGTGGGAACCCACAGAAAAGTGGACATTTGGAGGCTGATGCCATGTGGTTCCTCCAAGGGAAAAAGTGCTCCATGTTGACAGCCAAAGTGGAGCAAAACAGCCACCTTGTAGCCAGAGCCATTTCCCATGCTTGTCACTGTCATTAGCTTGTAACCATGGCAGCATCATGCAGAGGGATGCACCATGACTGCTTCCAGCATTTGGGTTCTCAAGGCATGGATATCTGCAACAATATTTGTTAAAACAAGAATGTTGAATAAATCTGATCCTTTGAACTCCAGTATATTTTTTAAAAAAACAGTGAAAATCGAAGGAATCTAAGAAGGGCAGATTAAGTTAAAAATCCTGCAAGGTTCCATTTTTCAGCTGTACTACTAATCTTAATTGCCACATGCTTTGTTTTTAGTGCAATGAATGACCACACAGCACATGGGGGTTGAGGACTGTGGGTTAGTAGGAGTTTGAAAAATCTGAGTTGCACATATGTACTGTGGGAAAGAAGGGAAAGAAGGGGGGAAAGCCCACTTCCCAACAGCCTCTAACCAGGGGCAAATAACCCATGTGGAAATGGCTGGTGTTACATGGGCAGTCTCCTGGAAAAGCAGGAGCAAAGCTGAAACAACCTTGAACTGGATTTGCCAGCTCATCCACATCCGCAATCAACAAACCATCATGCATTTTGCTTATTGCAGTTAGTCTAAGGCACACTAAGCTGTCACATAACTCAGAATAATACTATGGTCGGCTGGTAAAAATTGTGTACATCATAATTTTTATTTAAAAAAAAATTCATTCTCTGTCTAGTTAAAGTGTAAACCTTTTTAATGATGTCATTGTGGTTACCCCTGTACCTTTTATTGGCTCTCAAATTGAAAACCAGAAGCCTGCATAAGAAATCCTAAGAAATCCTCCAAGACAGATTAATGCTGTTCAGCAAGCCAGGCTGTTTGTTCAGGGTTTTTAAAAGAATGACATGGATAGTCTGTGCTTGTGTGGGCAATACAGTGCCCTGGTACATACAGAAGGAAAAGACCAGACTGGTCATAAGTTGTAGGAACACCTTGGGTTTGTTCTAGTTCTTTGCCACCTGACTCTGTGAAGGATTCACTGCAAAACAGGAGCTGTGTGTGAGATGTGTGTCTGTCTCTCCTTTTCGCAGTTTGTTTTCCTCACCTATGTCCTGGGGGTAGCCTGGCTTGGCGTCTTTGGCTTCTCTGCGGTCCCAGTCTTTATGTTCTATAACATATGGTCAACCTGTGAAGTCATCAAATCCCTCCCAGTGAATATGACAGCTTCAGCGGACCAGATCTGTGTGGATATCAGGCAATACGGTACTTATTTTAATCCTGATTAAATGCTTTGATCCTCTTTCCTTGTCCTGTCTTCAGCAGGGTGGGAGGACTAGGAAAGCAAGCAAGTGTGGAGTCTCTGAACATGTCATTACTTTTCCAATTAATGCAGATTGCGGTGACCTCTTTCCAGATGCATCTAGTTGATCTGCATTTGGCAAGTCATTTATCTAAAGTGATTTCAGGGCTGTTATCCGCATTACAATATCAGGCTTAATAATAAAACAATCAGCAAAATAAACTGCTTAAGCAAGCCTGACCCCATCATCAAATAGCTAGAAAACATACCAAGCTAGTCTCTTGGATTACAGTCTTCAGTGTATTCTTATTTACTGTTTCTGTAACAATCTGAACTATGCATAGAACTATTCAAACCAGGGTCCTTCTTTGTCCATAGTTTAGAATGAATATAGTAAAGCAACCAGCAAATGTGTAGTTGTAGCACGGCTGTATGGATAGCTAGATTTCTGCTCTAAAATCTATCCAAAATTCTGTTCTTCCCTGCAGTTATCAAGAACTGTAATTTATTTATTTATTTATTTATTTATTTATTTATTTAATACCCTGCCCTATCCCTCAAAATGGGCTCAGGGCAGCTTACAACAAAAAAACATAAAACAATTGATGGCAGCAGTAGATGATGACCCCCCCAAAAAATAATCATCAAGCCATGGGTCCATCCAGGTCAGTATTGTCACAGTAGACAATACTGTGATGGATCACTGGACTGACAGATGTTCCCCAGAGTCTCAGGTACATATTTTTCATATCACCGGCTACCTGATCCTTTTAACTGGAGATTCTGGGGGTTGGAATTGGGACCTTCTGCATGCAAAGCAGAGACTCTACCACTGAGCCGTGGCCACACCCCAATTTAGGCCACAACTAAATGTTACAGCATCAGGGGTCGTTTCGTAGAAAAAGAGCTAGGGGACTCATTAGCATAACTCATTAGCATATGCCACACCCCCTGACATCACCGGAAGTGTGTCATAAGGCCACACACCCCGCCCCCAACGGTCCCGGCCGCCGCTGGTGGCCTTGCAGCTCCACTGCCGAGCCCCATGAGGGGCCCGGCGGTGGACCTGCAAGGCCGGCGGGAGTGCAAGGAAGCCCTGCGAAGGCCCTCCCTGGCCCCAGGCAGGCAGGGGTGGGGAGAGGCAGGGAGGAAGCAACTTACCCTCCCTCTTCTCCTGCCTCCTCCTGGCTGAATGAGGGCCGGAAGCGGGGCGGCCGGAAGCAGGGGGCGGGGCTTCATCATGTGCCCCGCCCCCCGTACCTCACCCGGGGGAACTGCGATCCCCCCCGAAATGACCTCTGTACAGCATCAATGAGTCGGACCCAGGGACACTGCTGCCATTTTACAGCTGAACTCAGTCCATTTAAAAATGCTGTGAGGGCCAGTGAGGCCTGCAGTGCAGTGTGACCAGGAACTCTTCTCCCCCCCACACCTGAAAAAGCCACGAGGGGCAAAGAAAAAATGGAGAGATACCAAGACAATAAGGCAGTGGGGCAATAAGTAGTTGAGGACAGAAACGGGACAAGATAGACATGGAATCCCTTGATCTTTCTGTGCCCTACTCAGATTCTATTTGGTTTTCAGGCCCTTCCCAAGTTTTTCCAGTTTTTCTGAGATCGTGGGGGCTGGGCATTCTTTGCTTTTCTTTAAATGGAAGAGATTTTTCAAGATTCTGCCTGGCCAATACATGTCTTTTCTTTGGTGACTGTATTTAAGTTTTTCAAGTGACTGCAAACCATAATCTCCAGTTAAGTAGCTTGTGTTGTCTTGCTGTAAATGTATGTGGGGGGGTAGCCACAGAAATAAGCTTTTTTTTTTCCTGAGAAAGTTCTGTAAATGTTTTCTACTCTAAGGAAGGCAGTTATGGAGATGTCTGTGTCACCCATGTGTGATCAGGTGGTGTGATGGTAATGATCTGGCCATGAACCAAAGCAGCAAGGGGAGCTGGAGTCAAGTCTGAATGTACCACTGGCTACAACCGTAACCTCCACTCCTGAGTTTAAGGCAACTCTTTAAAAGTTGCAGACACCTCAGCAATCCTTTTACTTGAACCAGTATAAGTAATAAGCAGAGCATATGACAGTGTCCGTAGTGACTAAAACAACCATTTGTCTGCCATATGGGAATCCTAGATCTGAGAACATCTCTTGGCAAGGGGAATGGATCCTGGATGCAGAAAAAGAACACAGTCGGAGTGATTTTGTACTTGCTTCTGCCAGCTCCAGACTGAACTGGTCAATGTGTGGGTGCACAGTGAAAGAACACAACTTGCATGTAGGTGGGGAAGGGAAATGGATTTCAGGAAAGGAGAGTGAGATCATCCCACTGCTCTAACACGTTTCCTTTTGGTATTTTAACTTCAGGGATCATCCCTTGGAATGCAGTACCTGGCCGGGCATGCGGGTCAGCCTTAGCGGACATGTGCAACACACCTGAGGTAAGGGAGGCTGGAACACCTACGTGCTTCCTCACTTCATCCTCATATGAAAGCGTATCTTGAAAACTGGGACGTAATTGTGTTTGACAGCCTGTCATTGCATTAAAAGAAGAAGAAGCCACCGATAGTTAATTATCCAGAATGAGTGACAAAATGTCTTGCAGTGTCTTGAAGGCACCTGTCTGGAGTCCTTGTCTACATTGCGGATAGAGAGAGAGAGAGAGAGAGACAACAGTGAACTTCTTTGGCGTAGCTGAGATCCATTCAAGACCAGATTCTGGCTCCAAGAACCATGCCAGATTTGTGTAGAAGAATGGGTTAATATATGGCAAACACTTGGAGGCAGCCTATACTTTTGTTTCACTAGTGAATTCCACTTCTGAGGATGTTTTAAAGATCAGCAAAACTCTAATTAGCCTTCCTGGCAACACTCTCCCCACCCCTCTACCTATAATGTAAATGTTGGTGACTTCCGTTTCAGTGTATCTGAAGAAGTATGCGTGCACACGAAAGCTTATACCTAGAATAAAACTTTGTTAGTCTTAAAGGTGCCACTGGGCTCCTTTTAAGAACTTTGTTCTTAAAAACCAGCAGTTAATAAAGACGCCACTTTTACTTTGAAGAATAGACAGCAGTGAGGTTTTACTAGTCTCAGAATAAGTCCTCTCTTCTCCATTGAAAAGTGTTAGCTTACGTTGATACTGATTGGATAGCTTTGGACTACAAAGCTACATATCTGTTTATAGCCGCAGTGGTCTGTAGTTGGACATCGCTCATGGCCGGGCTGTTGGGTAACTTTTACCTTATTGTCCTGCTTCTCGGTGTTCTTCATCCATTATGTCATTGGCATATGCATATCAAAAGTATGGTTTACATATTTTATTCTTTACATTGTGTTGCCAATTTCTGTACTGTTTTTATATTTTATATTGTAATAGCCAATGGCTAGATGCAATACACTTTTGAGGTGGTATTACCAGAAGCATGGGACAGGCAGACGCTGTGCATGTATGAGCTAGAGGAGCTGTGAGTGGTGATGGTGCCCCTGTGTGCATGATTTTTTTTCAAACAGAGACATATCTGGACCAATTCATGCACTGGAATTTCTCCATGTGACCATGTATCTTGCTCCTTGATCAGCATGGAAGAAGATTAGTAGGTTAACGAATTTACACAATGGAACCATCTAGTTCATGATTGTAGCCACAATCATGGCGATAACTGACAGCTCCCCCTGTGCAGTGTCTGGTTCACACAGACCTTTCCTTTCAAGTGTCACTTGAGTAAACAACCATATAAAGCACTTTGGCAGCACTTACCAGTGTTACTGATTTAATCACAGTGCTCATTACTGAGTTTTCAGTGACAGAAATAATTATATTGCTGTTGCATGGAAGTGACTGTCCCTTCAGAAATATGTGTTTGTCAGTGCCTACAAGTCCAGGACTCAGACTTTCTTCCATGGTAGGCAGCCTCCTAGGTGCTGGGTTAAGATGTTCTGGTGCGCAACAAAACTTCTGAAATTACTTCCCCCTCTCCTTACTGTGTTATAGTTTTACTTGTCTTATCACCTGTTCATTGTGGCCTGTGCTGGAGCTGGTGCGACTGTCATAGCCCTGGTGAGTACGTGACCTATTGCCTCTTCTAAAATAACAATCTACTCCCCCTTTCTGAGGCAGCCATTCAAATATTATTGATCACTTTAAACTGATGCTTGTTGGTACCTGGCCGTAGTTCCCTCAGGACTTTCCACGTAGCAGGCGAGTGCTTGTTTTTTCCAGGAAAGCGCTGCACCCAAGCAAGCTTTGTAAATAGTTTTTGCGATGTTGTTTTAACCCCCACCCCGTTGCATGGTCAACTTTGATGGCATTTTCTGACTAGAATTATTTTGGCGTTAGTCTGTAGAATTTCCGATATTTCAGAATTTTTCTGTCTTTGGAAATCTTTTTTTCTTTTTTTTTTAATACTCCTGTCTTTCCTTCCTTTAAGTCTGGGACTGTGAAAGCTTTCTTTTGGTTGCTTAGAGGTAGGCAAATTTACTGAGCAACTCGAACCATTCAGCAGATTGGAAACAGAAGAACTAAGAGACCCCTTACAGTTGAGGGATTGTTTCAGCAGCCAGTTTTTAATCCTGCCAGCCAAATTCCGGTGAAGTAATGCATTATCACTGTGCTTCCCCCTGCAGCAGCCAGGCCTGCCTAGTTAGTTGCTATAAAGAAGGGGTTTCCATAGCTCTCGTTTGAAGTAATTGCCTGCCACTGTACGTTTTGAGTCTAACACAAAGAACTGCCTCGGGGGGACTGAAGAACTTGTCTCTTACATGCTGTATTTTGTTCTCTTCCACCAGCTGATCTACATGATGGCTACCACATATAACTATGCTGTTTTGAAGTTTAAGAGTCGGGAAGATTGCTGCACTAAATTCTAAATTGCCTAAGCCCAGTAAAGAGCTGCATTCTGTAGCTTGAAATACCACTGACACCCTAGACTAAGAGTCTAGCTTTTGAAGTTTGTTACAGTCAATTGTAAATAGCTTCAGTAAGCGTCTGTTAAGCATATTAGATTAATACAAATTATTTCTTGTATATGAATAAGAATGTGGGTGAGATCTGGCTGCTTTCTATACTATGAGAAGGTGCAGTTATTTTTAGTGGCGTTGTAAATCATCCTTTTGAAGGAAGGAGGGCTTTTGTTTTAACGAGCTATTTTTCTAACTATCATCTCTGAAACAATTACTGGATCGATTTAAGGGCCTGTAATAAGTTATTTTATGCCTGCTGTTTACTAATCTGAAAAATAATAAAGCCTCTGTGCTACAATAGATGACATGCAAAAAAGGACAAGCTTGATTCTTGATAACGGCCAGTGACTGCCTTGAAGTTCGAGACTCCTTTCACAAAGTACTTGCTTTGTAAAAAAGAAAAAAAAAGTGTCATCCATTTGCCTCTTATCTCCACCATATAAAATAAAACAGCCTGAGTTTCAAAATCAAGGCCAGTTTACCAGAAAACCCCCCATAAATGGGGCTTTCTCTGGTCAAATGCTTTGAGACACAACTAATTTGGCTCACTGAAACAGTCTCTTGATGAGCTGAAATACCAACTCTTTTTTTTTCCTTCAGAAGACAAAGCCCATCCAGTTCTCTAGCTGCAGCATGTAAACACGTCCCTGGTCCTTTTGCTAGGTCCCCTGCTTGTGAGAAAGAGCAGATATTGGCTGCACTGTGGCACCACATATGCCACTGAAGTGTGTCTCAATGGCTCTGTCTCAAAATGTGTAATAATTGGCCCACATGGCAGAATGACGGTCAACTGTATTTTCCTCTAGTCAGTATATTGGGAAGGAACTCTGAAAAACTTCCGCATATGATTTTCTTGCACTCACACTGGGGGGTTGGGGGGGAAGGAGCTATGACATCTTCAAGTTGCTCTGGTAGGCTTCAGCATGTACACTTGCAAAGTATTTTCAAAGCTTTCCTGTTTCTGTTGTTCTGCATTAACTGCTTTCGTTCCTATTTCATACTAACTTTTGCCAGCTGTTCCTTAATAGAATGAAGCATGCAACGTTTTGGAGACCTTTAGGAACCCCTCTGTCTGCCTACTTAATATTTAATAATGTAGAATAACTTTTGTATTAATCTAACTCACTGCCTGCTTTGCCTCTTGACATGCTCACTCGCCATCATGCTCACCCTTCTCTTCCAGATCCACTTCCTCATGATACTCTCCTCTAACTGGGCCTACTTAAAGGATGCGAGCAAAATGCAGGCTTACCAGGATATCAAAGCAAAAGAAGAACAGGAGCTCCAGGATATCCAGTCTCGGTCCAAAGAGCAACTCAATTCTTACACATAAATGTTTGCCAGAGTCCTTTTTGGAAGAATTCTGTAGCTCTGACAAATCAACACGCAGCTGTTCTGCAGTACAGGTGTATGTCCAAGCAAATACCGAAGTGTAAAAACTTCATATTCATGCTCCTGGGCCATGTTCATAGGGAAACCTTGCAGTGGAAATCCTTCATTCCTTTAGTACTGAGTTTGGAGTTGGGGGTGGGGGGGGAGAATGGGGCAGGCTGAGTAACATCCTCGTCCTAGGCCACTAAACACACACATATAACCAAGTCAGATCTCTTTATGGATGCTCTTGGTAATTACGAAAAATTACTGATATGACAAAGACATCTTTCCGAATGGGGATACTGCAGTAAGTATTCAGCCCTGCAAGGACTAGAAGATTTTAAAAGGCTGTACATAATTACACAGGTGTAACCAAGATTCTAGTACTTAACTAGATAAAAGTATTCCTTTTATTCTGAATGCTGATGGTTGTATTTGTTTTCAGAAAGTTGTAAATCAGCTTATTCAGTCTCTCTCAAAATCAAACTAGGTTCTGTGGTCTAAATTGCAGAAATGTATTCTGAACCACTCTTTTTCCAGCAATGCTATAATGAGCCACTGTTCTACTGCACTTACCTGACTAAGTTGGGTGCTGAATGTCCCCAAGTTTTGCTATTTTTTAAAGTGTTTGATGGAATGTAGACAGACCCCACAGATCAGGATAATGATTCCCCTTCTCTGAAAATAAATGTCAGCTTTGCCTTAATGTTTATTTTCTATAAATGTCTTAAGCATTTATATAGCAGTGGGAGGTCATTATACTGTCTGTGTTTTATCTAAGTGGAAAGTGTTACCTTGTTGAACTGACACTGATTGAGCTGCTTAAAGTGAGATAATGTGTAGATTTTAAAAAACAGAAACCCATAGCCATACCGAGCACTGCTCAACCACCCATCTGAATTTTGGTGCTCAACACATTTATAGACAGTGCTTATTTGTTTTATCTTACAATAAGAAAATGTGGTGTTCAGTAAAGTATTGGGTGCCATTTTAAACTTGTTTCCCACAGAAATCTGCCTTCTAATATTTTTGGAAACATTCAGTGCTAGCTTGAGTACCTGTGATGGTATATTTTGGTGTGCTATTTTTAAAAAATTATATAAATGTTGGAGAAAATTAAAGTACATCAGTGAGTTTTAAATCAGTAAAAAGTCAAGTCCATACATCCATGTTAATGTGTGGTTTGATTTGTTTTGAATGTTTGATGAATATTAAAATGCTCCTGTAGGCCATGCAGAAGTGTATAAAAATAAAAGGAAGCACACATTTCTTTAGGAAAGTTAAACAATAAAATTAATGTGGAAAAGAAATTCAGGTATTACCTTGCTTTTTTGTTACATGCTTAAATCATTTTTTTTCTTTTTAAAGAGGCAAAAATCCTTCATAGAGCAGATGAAGAAATAGCTTAGTGTTTGTTTTTACCTGTTGCATGAAGGATACCAGTTTTTACAGCGATGCAGGTGATGTTCTTTCTAGTTCAGTGTTTGCATAAAGGTAACAGACAGTGTCTTAAAGCCTAATTCTTTTCTAATTCTATGTAGCTATTACTGGGAGTTTTTGAAGTTTTGTTTAAGTAGTCTAATATTTTTTATGTAAAGAGCATTAAATTTTGCTATGTATAAATTTTTGTAACCTAACCGTGAATCAATATTTTCTATCAGTGCCAAGGGCTTCCTGTAGTTATATCCAAGTGTTACAATAAATATTTGTAGATAATAGAACCTATATTTTGTGTATGCTTATTTTAAGAATCCTTTTAGACGACAGTTGAGTTAGTATAGACAGTCACTATGATCTGATTAGGTGGTATATAGAATTAGGGGCTTTGCACTACTGAAAAATGAGGAAATTAGTTTAAATAGAGAAGCAGCCCAGCTTCTGTGTCTGATCCAACTGTATATCCACCTCATCCTACCTACCCCATATGGTATTTGTCTACAATGGCTTGTGGTATAATGCATCTAGTTCAGATATCATATGGAAATTTCCATTTTCACCTGACATATTAGTTTATAAGAGTAACTGTGTGTGTTTCATGTGTTGAGCTGGCAGCTTGCCACTTTGGAAATCTGCTTCAAGATTTCAGCGATGCCTTATCCTTTTAGCCAGTGGCAATTGGAACATTTGCATTATGCTCCCAGAAATGAGGCTTTTTGTTACAAAAGTTTTGATTGAAAGAACGGGGAACACCTAACTGTGCATTTATGGTCTTCTTTTAAAATAATGGCTATTACAACTTCCTTTAGAAAGTTAGCAATGTCTGACGGGATACAGAACCACTGGAGGTCCAGGGTGGAGGAAAAAAACCACATTGTTTTAGAAAATACTTTTTTTTAAAAATTAAAAGATCCTTTACACCATGCAGCGCAGATTGTTTGCATCGATCAAATAACATTTTACTCTTACAAGACTGCATCACCAGCAAGTAATGCAGTAAGCTGCATTGTACAGACCAGGCCTTAAGAATCTCTGGATTGAATCTCATTTTCAATTTGTCTTATCTATGCTCTGCTTACATTCAATATTTTCTATACAAGTTGGCAATAGAACAGAAGAAAACCCTGTGTTGTACTGTTAAGTAGTTTAGGTTTTGCGATTCTGTGGACAGTAACTTATATCTTCTCAGTAATTTATAGAGCTCAGATTAAGACTAGGCATCAAAATAGTTTTTCTGAATCTTTAAAAACCTCAAATGTCAGAGAACCTCAATGTCAAGCTATTTCCCAATGTGTTCATTGGGAAGGTCCTGCTTTCAGTTACTTCTTTTGGGGTTATTTATGAACTAATTTTTTTGTCTTTTTACACTGCACATTCAACAAATGGAAGCTAAAACCTAATTGTCTCACAGGTCCCTTTTATGAGCCTAAATCGTACTGTAGCCATTTATAAGTAATTATTTGGCCAGGATCCTGTAAAACAAATGTATGAGGAACTTTCTGAAGTACCTCCTTTCAGTGGGAAACTCAGGGTACACAACCTTTAAAAACCTGGAGTGGTTCTTCTTCATGGACAGAAATTTCTTTAGTGTACTGCCTACATCAGGCTCTTCCTCCACCTTAGGAAACACGTACACAATGCATTCGTGTTGGATTGTGGCCAGCATGGAGTGGTTAAAGGGGGCCCCCCTCCAAGCTACAGAACTGGATTTGATTCCCTACTCCTCCACACAAAGCCAGCTGGGTGACCTTGGGTCAGTCACAGTTCTCTCCATGGGGAGAAGAAGGGAAGATGATTGTAAACTGCTTTGAAACTCCTTCGGGTAGTGAAAGGCGGGGTATAAAAACCAACTCTTCTTAAATTAACACACTCCAGTGAAATTTTAAACTTACAAAAACAAAGCTATAGTCAGTACATTTATCTAATGCCTCACACACACTTGTATAAATCAATTTCTAAGGCAACCTGTTTTACATATATCTAAAAACACATTTACGTATTTTATAGGTACAACAACCTGATGATTTGTAAATATGCCCTCAAAACCTTGTGTTTGGCTGTTATTTAGACCATTCTGTTTGTAAAATGTTTTCTTGTGGTCAGACACAGAGCCTGTTTGCACCAGAGATGGTATTCAACTGTAGCAAACTGTTCTAAAAAACTTGTGGTTAGTAAACTTTTCAATCACTGCTGTAAAATTCCACTTGTGGGATGGAGGGGGGGGGAGGAGGTAGTAGTAGCAGTACTGTGGGCAATATACTGTCAAGCCTTTAAAGTTCTAAACTGCATCCCACATTACCATTTGAAGAAGCCTTCAACCTGTCCCATCATGATCAAGTGAATTTTGTCACCATATTCCTAGTCAATAGAAAAAGTACTAAGAGTTTGTATTCCTTCATTTCTGTTTCACACCACAGCATCACACTACAACTCTCTTACCCCTAAGTACAAAAGACACATTCAGGATACAAAGCACAAAATTTTTTTGCTTGATGTGGTCTCTGTTTTGAGAACAGACTCTATAGTCCCTATTTTAAAGATGCAAAAAAAAAAAAAAGTACTGATGCTTTTTCATGGATGTGGGAAACAATTCCTTGTTGCTTTCTGTTAAGTAATTTTAACAGTCCTGCTAAAGGACTACCTCATAAGACTCTAGCAGGCAACATTACATGAGCATGTAGCAGCCAGTGCCTAAACGTACCACTAGTGAATACTATTCTGCACTTTAACAATCAGCTCATACTTGAGTAATATGACTTTAAAAAATCAGTTATGTCCTCATCATTTCTTATGTTCAAAGTGTGCTTATTTCAAGACAAGCATCTCACTTAATCTGTAAATACAGTCAATATTTAACTTATTAAAATAAACTGCAACAGTAGAGAAGGTCTCAAACAATGCCCAGCTACAAATAAAATTTATTAAAACGTCATAGATATGGCAGATGATTATCAAGTCCCAGAAGGCAACCATTTCTGAATAAACTGAAAATTGAGAAGTTATCTATTTCCCGTGGTTGCTGTCTTACTAAACATGATCCATTTTTAAAGTAGTAAAACCAATTATTTGTAATGAGTCTACAGGGGTGGAGGGAGACAGTTTGCATCCGGCCAGTCTGGATTTCAAAATGGCTGTTCTCTTGCTAATTTGCAATATTTTGAGCAGATGAAATTGATTGTTGGCACACCAGCTCACAAGGTATTTGTTCAAGTAAACAGTCCTCTGTAGTGTGATTTCACGTCTCCAGATAGCTCTCCCACAATTGCTATTAGCTAAAAATATATTGTGATGCAGTATTTCTTCACTAATTACATGGCAGAAAGTTTTCCAAGACTGCACACATTCAGCATCTTGCTGTGTAATTTTTATTATGTCCATCTTTCTGGGCAGGTAGTTGATGTTCACCAGAAATCTTCATCAGGTTCTCCCTGAAGGCTGCCTGCAGCACTAAAACTAGAACACATAAGAGTGGATTTTGAAACAAGCTGATACAATTAATCTTACTCTCTGAGAACCCTACCTTTATTCTTTAAGCTAGTCTTCACCTAACTGGCAAATCCAGGATAGTGAGCTGCTAGACAACTGCATAATGTCATTTATTGAACACTAGCCTGCTACCTGTGCTTCACTACGGTATTTAGATTCCGTAAATCCAGTTATAATACTGATGATGTAAAATCTGAAATGTGACATTTATTGTAGGAATTCTAACAGGGAAGATTGTAGTGTAAGAAATGAAATGAGACATACGTACTTTTCCCCCCCCTCTACCGGAGGACCTCTCTAGACCACATTGGTGGTTCTGCCCTCAGGTGCTAGGATCACCAGGCTGCTTGATGAGCTCACTCTGGAGCAGAACTGTTCATTTAAGAAGCAGTCATCCGTTAAGTCAATTCCTGCCACCTTCCACGAAAGTGATGGCCTCTCTACTTGTATCCCTGGATTGTTTTGCTCATATGGAGACTGTGTTGTTCTGAGCACCTCAGGGTGATCATGCTCGTACTTGGCCTGTACAGGAGTACTATGTGCAAATGTCTTTGCCACATTCCTAAGTTGCCTCCTCCTTGTAGCGTTGGTGTATCTGGCTTGAGGTTTGCCAGGAGCTTTCTTGGGGGCAGTAAGAGGTGAGAGGTGTGAGGGAGTGGTGATGTGGTGCACATTTCTTCAGGTTCATGAGGGTTCATGCATCAAAATGGTTCCTAGAAATGTCCTTTACTACCTCCCCATAAACATTCATACCCTGGCCCTGCTCCTACATCTGACAGACACCAGTCTGTCTGGTGTTGGGTGGATTGTATAAGGCATCGGGGAGGCTGGGCCAGAGCAGTGCTAAGGCAATCCTGCTGAGCAAATCTCCCTGGCGGCTGTAAGCCCACCTCCTCTCCTACACCTGACAGGCAGCTGCCTTTCCAGTGTAGGATGGGGAGGGGGCAGTATTAGAAACCACTGTGGAGGCAGGGCTGACAGGATCACTAAGGCGTTACTGCTGGGGCAGGCTCCCTCGTGGCTTTCAGCACCCTCCAATCGCTGCTGCACCTGATGGGCAACCGCCTGTTAGTTGTAGGAGATGGGGGGAGTGTGTTGGAAGCCATCCAACCTCCTCTCCTACACCGGACAGGCAGCTGCCTGCCCAGTGTAGGAGGGGAGGGGGGAGTATTAGAAGCCACTGTGGAGGTGGGGCTGCACCTGACAGACAACCACCTGTTAGGTGTAGGAGGTGGGGGGAGTGTATTGGAAGTCATCAGAGAGGCTGGGCCAGCAGCTTTGCTTCACCTCACAGGTGGTTCTTGGCCACTCCTGATTTCCTCAACTGTCATTAGCTCTGTACAGTCCCCTGTAACTGTTGGGTTTTTTTTTACTTCAGAACACTGAGCTCTGCAGCTGACCAATCAGAATGGGGAGTGCAGAGAGGCAGCTGCCTGGCAGCCGCATAGGAATCAATAGGGGGAGCACATTTCCCCCCTTTTGACCCACTTAGGGGTCAAATTTCTAAAAATCCCTTCTTAGCGAGCACCTACACCACGGTAGGAGCACTCTCCCTGAATTTGGTGTCTCTATGTCCAGCAGTTTGGCCTGGGCGTTGATGTTACAGTGAGGGGGACTTTCTTTTTTACATATAGAAGTGTTCCTTAATTTTAACTTACACATGTATTTAACTTTAGATTACCAAATGAGAAAAATATTCATTATACAATAGTTGTCACAGTGGTGAATAAAAGT